CATCCAGGGTTTCCTCATCAGGTAAAGGTCTGGTCAGGGGCGTGGATAATCCTCCCTCAGGGTTATGGTCAGCTATGCCTGGTAACAGATTAAACGGATCCAGGTAACCAGAGGTCCCTTTAAGGGATGGGTAGGTGAGGATGCCTGCTTACAGGGGACTCCCTTCTCTGGATATAGATGGTAGGTAGATGACTGGATCACAAAAGCGGGCTCTGCAAATAAATACTCCTCAGGGGAGTCAGGGAAGGGTGCCCATAGTGTAGTAATTCAAAATAGTATTTATTGGTAAAAGCGAGTGCAAACAAGGAACAAGCAATAAAAGCAAATATACAGCGTCAGGACTGCAGAGATGAACTAACCCTCCAGAGTCTAATCTGGCCACCGGGCCTCCTCATGGCTCCGGCGGCGTAGTGTCATGACGTCCTGACTCCTCCTTACGCGTTACGTGCGCACGCACTTCATCAGAGGAAGATGCATCCACTTGTGAGATCCTTTGTATTGACATCTAGTGGCGTCCAGTATAAATACAATGTATTTATTGTTGTATTCCTGAAATGGTACCTGTGTGTTTAGGGTAGTTGGTTTAGTCCAGCCTTCATAGTGGACATAAGTCCAGTTAGTTTCCATTCTTTATAGGGTACAATGTTTAGAAGATCATTGGGGTGGATTTATTTAAGGCAAATAGACTGTGAGATAACGCTTCACTTTGGAAAGTATACCCAATCACATGCAAGAAAAAAAAAAACAGTGTTTTTGCTTACACATGATTGGATGATGGACATCAGCAGAGCTTCTGCTCATTTAGTAAGATGCATTATTCCACAACGAGCCAAAGACCTTGATATCAAAGAAGTGCCATCTAGGGGCTGACTCGTTTCGAGGGTAACCCTCTTCTTCAGAGCCAAAGGAATCCATGCCCTCACTCTCTATATATCACCAGAATCTTAAACAAATGACTCATAGCCCCACCCACCTGCTGGGGGCAGAGTTGGCTATACATGCATTGTTCAACAATAATAATCACAGAATCCTGAACAAAACTAACTAACGGTAGGACACCACGTCATGAATGATCCTTCAGCTGAGAGGCCAGCGGTTTAGATATTAATGGTTGTGTGTTGAGTTACTTTGAGGGGACAGCTAATCAACATTGTTATACAAGCTGTACACTCACTACGTCACATTGTAGCAAAGTGTCATTTCTTCAGTGTTGTCACATGAAAAGATAGAATCAAATATTTACAAACATGTGAGGGGTACTTCTAAGTTGCTCCTGATTCTTTGATTATTGTTGTTGAGCAATGCATGTATTGTCGACTCCGCCCCCTGCATGTGGGTGGAGCTATGAGTCATCTGTTTGAGATTCTGGTGATATATAGGGAGAAAGGACTTGGGCTCCCTTGGCTCTGAGGAAGAAGGTTACTCTTGAAATGCGTCAGCCAGATTTGGCCCCTGGATGGCATTTCATTGACGCCAGGGTCTTTGGCTCGTGGTGGATTAATGCATCTTCTGACTGTCTATCTTTATGTGATTTGTCACCACTTGTTTGTGAGCATTATATTTTATTCACTTTTTAATAAATGGTTATCTGGGATAATGCGCTAGGCCAGTGCGCTGTTGTTTTATTCCTTCTGCAGTTGCATCGCCCCTGTCTTGTATCAGAGCGGCAAGGCTTGGCCCACCTGTTGGAGTTTCGCACACATCTGAGTTCCACTGAATATTTCTGTTCCTAGCCTTCCACACCCATTTCCGGCAGTGATTGACAGTACCTTCCCCAGAGCAGGCACATTTCGTCCTGAACCTTCCATTTCTCCCAACTAGGGTACCAAGACCAGTATTGCCTAGCCAGGCAATATTTCACATTTGTAAGGCTACATGGCTGTGGTTAGGGCTCCAACCAGTCCCATGGGGGGCCAACACTAGTGACTACTTCCTTTCTGTTCTACATCTCCACCGAACTAATGCTATCTCATGCTACACACAAATTATAAGCTGCCAGAGGGTAGCACCCAATGGCCATATGGGGATTGTGCTAGCACCCCCTTGCAAGCCTGTGTTACATATTCATTTCCAGGGCATTTTTCTATTTTCGCTGCTGTAAAAATTTGACTGCCAATTACTCGGTTATGCAACACTGTGTCCAAATTAATTTTATATCACTTTTTTTAGGCAGATAGAGCTTTTTTTTGGTGTTATATAATAGCCACTATTCTTTTTTTATGCTTTACTACATAAAGGAAGTAGTAGATTATTGCACTGCATTAGCTGTTTAATGCAGAAAGTTTGGCGTTTAAGTGATACCCTTTATTGGCTAGCCTAAAGTGATTACAAAGGCAACAATTTTCTTTTTTAAATAACAAACACAATATACATACCTGCTTTCTGCAATAGTTTTGCACAGAACAGCCCTGATCCTCCTCTTCTTGGGTCCCCTGCTAGCACTCCTGACTCCTCCCACTGCTGAGTACCCGCATAGCAACATGCTTGCTTTTGGGGGCACTCATGCGTGCTTGCTCCTGAGCCCTGCTCTGTTTTTCCATTAGACACACAGACTGCGCCTCAGCTTCGCCCCCTTCCCTAGCTCCCCTCGCTGTTGATTGACAGTACTGGGAGCCAATAGCTCCAGCTGCTGTGCCTAAGCCAATTAGGAGGGAGAAAGTTGGGAGAGCCACTGCTCTCATGCACATTGCTGGATCAAGATTGGGCTTGGGTAAATTTTAGGATGGCTGTGGGGGGAGGAGCACTCAAAAGGTTTTTTACCTTCATGTATAGAATGCATGAAGGTAAAAAATCTTCAGCCATAGAATACATGAAGGTAAAATACCTTCAGCCTTTACAACCACCTAAAATTACTACAGATACAAGCTTTTAGGATAAGTTAGATTCTTCATACTTCATACATATCCCACGAAATCACCATAAATACATTGCCGTGCTAGACCATCATCGATTGCAAATGTGTACATAAATAAAGAAAAAAGTGTAAAAAAAATCAACATATAGTCCCAAATCAAATCCAAATAAAGAAAAACACATAGATTAAAGTCCCAATATTCTGATAATATGTGATTAAACACTGCGTGTCTTCAAGTAAAACAAGTATACCCAGGGCCGTGGATAAGGGGGTACCACCAGTCCACCTGTATGGGGCCCGGCCAGCAGCAGGGGGGCCCGGGCAGCTGAGTAAATATGATGTGGACAGGGAGGGAGATCGGTATGACAGGGTGAAAATTACTGGATCCAAGCCCTTGTTTGTCTCTCTCTGCAGCAGCTGAAAGCTGGCTTGTTCCCCTCTCCCTTCTGCTGTCATTTAGCTGCTGCAGAAAGAGCCACACATGGGATTGGTTCCAGTGATTGCCCCCCCGCTGCACCCACCATCCTACCTGTGCACCATACATTTCTTACCAGGCCCCCCTGTGTGCCTCCAGCCCAGCAGTGCTTCCGGTTTCCCTCCTCTCCTTCCCACCAGCAACTGCAAGTGCACAGTAAGATCCTTCAGGATGGAGAGTGGGGGAAGGATCCAGTGAATATTTCTCAATTACCAGCCCTTTCCTGAATGAATGAACTCAGTAAGTGATCAGTACCAATCACTGTGTTCATTCATTACTGAAGCATAGTAAACTGTGTGTTTTTTTTTTGGGGGGGGGCTGTCAGGTTGACTGTATGGGGCCCCATGGTTTCTAACAGCAGCCCTGAGTGCACCACCACCAATTAATGGTAGGACTCTTATCAGAGTGGAAGAATATGTTTAGATTCACATCATTTTTTTGCTGAACAGAGAAAGATTGATTGATTATATGCACCAGAGAGACATGTGGGACGGGGATAGCCTGAAGGGATCCTTTCCATTTATATTGGTTGTCTAGCACCTTTTTTTCTGCTTGAGAGCTATGGTGGATACATATCTCCAGGCCATTATATTCATGCACTTGTTTTACTTGAAGACACGCGGTGTTTGATTACACATTATCAGAATATTGGGACTTTTCTCTGCGTTTTTCTCTATTTGGATTTGATTTGAGACTATATATTGATGGTTTTTTTACACTTTTCTCTTTATATACGCATGTACACATTTGCAATCAATGGTGGTTTAGCGCGGCAATTTATTTATGGTTATTTATACACAATTTATCTGATTGTTTTGCCAGCAGCATACTTTTCATTTTTTACTTTTTGCATGGCTTTCTTGCCATTTTATATCCCATGAAATGTATACTTTTTGAAGAAGGGATCTAAGTTATCCTGAAATCTTGCAACTTTTGCAACTTAAGTTAGCCAGTAATGGGTATTACTAAATCTCCAAGCTTTCTATATAAAGCAAAAAAAGTAAACATCTTGAAAGCAGCGGAAAAATAATTACCTTCTCTTTCTGTTATAAAACATCAAATAAAAATGCCAAGATAGTACAAACCAGGGGCGGACTGACAACTCATGGGGCCCCCGGGCAATAGGGGATCATGGGGCCCCTGTGTCCTTGCCCAAACTCAAAAAAGCCTATGAAAAAGGTACCAGGGGCATCTCATGGGGCCCCCTACTGACCCCGGGCCCTCGGGCAGTGCCCAAGTTTCCAAATGGTTAGTCCACCCCTGGTACAACTCCTTTTTGGAAAGTAGGCACCCCCAAAGCAATCTCTTGTTTTGCTACTATTTTTTTTTTTTTTTAATGAAGGCACATGATGGCATTGAGGGGGTTGCAACATGGATCTTGGTGTACTAGATAAATCACATTATTAATGCACGGCCATAAACAGGAGGGGAGGAGGAGGCAAAGGGGTTAATGTACAGGTCACATACAGTGGGAGGATTGAGATGAAGGGGTTAATGTTCAGTACCAGGATGATGAAGGCATTATTATACAAGTGAGAGAGAGAATGGAGATTAGATGTTGAAAAGAAGGGAGTGAAAAGGTTTAAAAAAAAAACTCTCCCACATTCAAATATATCAAATCCAAACACTAGCAGATACTAATTGCAGTGTGATCACAGGCAAGTAGGTAACCAGGGGCGGACTGACCATTTGGAAACTCAGAAACTGCCCGAGGCCCGGGGTCAGTAGGGGGCCCATGAGATGCCCCTGATACCTTTTTCATAGGCTTTTTTGAGTTTGGGCAAGGACACAGGGGCCCAATGATCCCCTATTGCCCGGGGGCCCCATGAGTTGTCAGTCCACCCCTGGTAGTAACAGAGCACCATTTTTAAAATTCTATTGCAGAACCACCACCCCGCTATGACCACCATCCCACTGTCCTAAAAATACAGCGATAGGCAAGCAGTTAACATTTTCTACAGTACTAAATGCAATAAATAAAATGTATTAAATAAATCAGTACACAATCACTTTAAAGCTGGCCCCCAGGAACAAAATTGGAAATAGCCTAGTCCTCATGCACAATGGGCGTTTTAAAAACACCGGTAGCATTAGCTGTATAAAATCATGTTAAAAAGCATGCATGTTTTTTTCCACAATTTAGCGTTTTTCAATTAGCATTTAGCTGCGTTTTTCTGCATTTGTGTTTTTACACACACGCGCGCAAAAAAAAAAATGGCCAAAAACCACGTTTTACTGCGTTTACCAGCGTTAGAGCATTTTTCCAGCTAAAAAGCTCCTGGGTTCTGTTTTTTTTTTTTTTCAGCTAAAAAAACGCCCCTGCCAAAAAATGCTGATTAAAGCCTATGTGTGCATGGGCACCTAGGATAACATGCTGGGGAGTTTATTGGTCGTAGAAGAAAAATGTCAAAAGCCGAAAACAGCCGTTGTAAAAATGTCCAGTGTGTATGAGGACTACATGGCGCAAATTCTGAATATTAATTAGTTATTCATGAATTCTAGTTCTAAATACCTGTTTTTATTGGTAAACATCAGTCCCCGTGATTCATCTGTGCACACTGCAGCTAGTTTGGTGCCATCTGCTGACCATGTTGCTGCTTTCAGGCTACAACATGCATAGTACATGTGCAAGGTTGCTATGCAATTGATTGGTAAAGAAGGTGATGATATGGGGGAGGATTGGCCTTATGGAGTGCTTCTTTTGTTGTAGCTGGTGAATCACTCACAAGCAGGCAGGGGGTATTTTATAAACCCTTCCTGCTCATCCCTGGCACAAGTCCAGACCACTTTTGACATTTTCCCCATATATGTAAATTTTTTTTTTTTTGCTGGAAAATTACTTATAACTCACAAACAACTCATTATATATTTTCTGAAAGCAGAGGCCTGGAGAATAAAAAGGTTTTATGTCACACAATATTTGCGCATCCATTTGTCAAACACTTAACCTCCTTAGCGATAATCCCGAGTGTAGCTCGGGGTAAAATTTCTATACTAAGAGCGGTAACCCCGAGCTACACTCGGGCTTACCATGTGGCGTTGCTCTGGGGGTCCCTGCAGCACTTACCTTGTCCTTCGCTTCCGCGATGTGTCCCCTCCAGCGTCCCCGGCCATCTCCTCCGGCCGATGCCGGCATCTGGCTTCTGTGTTCCGGTCCCTGTGACGTCGGGACGTACGGGCGCCAGAACCGGCAGGAAATTTGAAAGTTTTGAAAAATGTCATTTTTTGCTGTCATTGCTGTTTGAATGCATTTCACATATATTTTGTCCGTACTGCTTTGTCCTGCGCCCTGCCTGCATTTTGAATGTTCTTTCTGCCTGGAAACTTAGAAAAGTCCATGGCGTCCAAAAAGCGTCCCTTTACGTCAAAAGCGGTTTTAGAACAGTGATAGTAAATCAGAACCACTTGCAGAATTGAGTGATAATGATTCGTGGGGAAATTCGTCATCAGACACTGAAAACGATTTTACGACTTTGCTCAGCAATGTGCGAATTTGCCTCTGTATTTAAAATTTCAGTGTTTTTAGTTTGATTATATTATTGAATTAAATGTATTATTATTATTATATTATTATTTTTTATGATTATTTATTAAATTATAATTTATGATTTCGTGTTTCAAATTTTATCATATCCGGAATGTTTAATAGACTCTTGTTCGGAGAGATTTCAGTGAGTTATTCCTAAAAAATTACAGCCTACAATAAAAAACTACATATTTCCATGCAAAAAAATGGTACCCCGCTTTCAGCACAAAAAATCGGAAAGAATCATACCGCCAGGGAGGTTAATACCCTTAAATACATATTTGTGCACACAAACACAATATAATACCCAGTTTTTTTGTCAAATATGAAAGATTTGTGCGAAGGAGGCACTTATTATTCTTTATTTATATTATTTATTTTATGTATGTATTTATTTATTTTTTTACACTGTCTCTTTAATTTTTTTTTTTATCAGCGTTATTGCTATTAGAAGGGATGAACAACATCCTTTGTGATAGCTGGGGCAGTGACAGGTCTTCTTTAGGGAGAGATCTGGAGTCTATTAGACCCTATGCCTCCTCTGCCTTTCAAACCATTCGATCTAACCAAAATTGGTTTCTCCACTGGCCAGACAGTAAACAAAGAACTGAAACCGGTGATGAAAAGTGATGAAATCCTTGTTTCTTCCAGCTTCATTCAACACAAAGATTGGGCAGGAATACATGCTCCTTCCCAGGGGCGGACTGACAACTCAAGGGGCCCCCGGGCAATAGGGGATCATGGGGCCCCTGTGTCCTTTCCCAAACTCAAAAAACCTTATGAAAAAGGTACCAGGGGCATCTCAGGGGGCCCCATACTGACCCCGGGCCCTCGGGCAGTGCCCGAGTTTCCAAATGGTCAGTCCGCCCCTGCTCCTTCCGGTTTTTTGTCTGCAGCTGGCCTGACAGAGAGCAGCTGTCCCAGACTCCCTGGTGGAACTGGAGAGCCTGGGAATGGTGGAGGCGAGAGGAGAGGGCCCCCTTTCGAGCCCTGTAAAAATGATCAGGTGGCTGTAGAGGTGCTTATATCACTTTTACATTAAAGCCCAATGCCAGCTGCATATTTTGATACTAAAATCATAGCTGCAGCTGCATAATCCTTGTATAACCGCTTTTACCCAAGGACATATGGTTACATCCAAAAGACTGGGGTGGGAAGGACTGACTGATCACATGATCACTGTGATTGATTGTAACAATGTAACAGTGTTCAAATGATCATGAGTTGGTCCAGCAGCAGCTCCCCATCATTAGTAGAGACCGAGAGATGTCTTTTGAGCATGTCAGGGACTATACTTGTAACATGCAGAGAAATGAACATAAGTGGTCACTGAAATGGAACACTGGAACATGATATGGCATATTTTGTTTTTGGTAATTATTGACTTTCCACAGTTACTGCAGCAATTTTTCTTAAAATTTGTTAGTGCCTAAAGCTTCTCTCTGGGATAAAACTTGCCCCCCCCCCCCCACTATAGTAAAAAAAAGAAAAAAAAAGTTAAATGCCCTTTTCGGTAACCTAAGGCCGCAATCATATAACACCACTTGCCCGAGTCTTTCTCTGATTACATCCTGTAAGGGACCTGGGACCGGGAGCTGAGGTGATTACATGTGCTTTCATCAGGTAAGGAGAAGACAAATACTAGAACAGGATATTATTATTATTTAGGATTTACAATGCGTCAATTGCTACAAAATAAAGGGAGATAGTATAGTTACAATACAATGCAAGACAAAAAAGTTAGGAGGTCCCTGCTCGTTAGAGCTTAAAATCTAAAATGGAGCATCAGATGATAGAAAAGGTTATAACTGTGGTGGGATCAGTTGACTAAGAAAGTAAAAGTTCAGTTTTTAGATGAAGGTGGGATAGACTTCCCTGAAAAGATGAGTTTTCAGAGTAGAACTTGACTGGACAAATTGGAGTATGGAGTTCCAAATGATAGAAGTTCTCTGGAGAATTTTTATGGAAATGAGCATGGGAAGAGGAGACAAGTAAGTTGGAGAGCAGGAGGTCCTAGCAGAAGTAAAGAAGATGGTGTGATTGATACTTTAAGACAAGCTTGGTGAGAAGACTTGTTTCCAATGAGTTAAGCAAGTTTTCTATTTTTTTCCATGTTTTGTTATGCAATGGTTTCTTTTTTTTTAATCCAAGGCCAAAATCAATAATAATTAAAGCATGTATATTGAGCTCATTCTGTATAATTGAATTTTTTGAACAAAACACTAGAGTTATTGTTTCTGATGTACCTGTCAAGCAAAGTGCTCTCAACGCCTTGGAAAGCAGTGTTACATCAATAACCAATATTTCTCTGAACTCCTCAAGTTTTTTGTGAAATCCATTCAATGCCTTGCAGATCCCTTTGTCTGGGAAAGTGCTAGAAAACCCACAATTGCCTCTTTTCTTGGCTCTGTGGTGATTCGCTTCTATCTTTATTACATTGTATAAGCCTCTAACTGCTTTATGCTTTAAAATAGCAAGCTGTGGTAATGAAAGGAATTTCAAATACAAATTAAGATATGTTTTTGCAAATATGCAAAACTTGCTGCTAATAAATGTTTCAGTGTACATGGAGCATAAATGGATTTGTATAATACAGCATAACCCTTTTTTTACACAATATATATGGCCATTGGTTTGTGGATACCTGACCATGACATCTACACTACATAGGCAAAGCAAAAGGAATATGAGTTATCCACTTATTTCAAAAGAATTTACTATACCATAGCAATATGTATTCACTTGGAATGTGCACTGAAGATTTCGGGGAAGCCAACTTATTTCAAGAATCCACAACCCCTTCATGAGTCCTGATAATAGACATACAGTATTTGATATGAATTAATCATACGTACCAGCCACTTTATTGCGTACACCTTGCTAGTACTGGGGGCTTCGAGTCATAGATTCAACAAAGTGTTGGAAACATTCCTCAAAGAGTTTGGTCCATATTGACACGATAGCATCACGCAGTTGCTGCAGATTTGTCAGCTGTACATCCATGATGTGAATCTCCTGTTCCACCACATCCCAAAGGTGCCCTATTGGATTGAGATCTGGTGACTGTGGAAGCCAATGGAGTACAGTGAACTCATTGTCATGTTCAAGAAACCAGTTTGAGATGATTTGAGCTTTGTGACATGGTGCATTATCCTTCTGGAAGTAGCCATCAGAAGATAGGGACACTGTCATCATAAAGGGATGGACATGATCAGCAACAATACTCAGGTAGGCCATGGCATTTAAACGATGCTCAGTTGGCACTAAGGGGCCCAAAGTGTGTCAAGAAAATATCTCCCACACCATTACACCACCACCACCAACCTGATCTATTAATACAAGGCAGGAT